CGGAGTTGCCCCTTAAGACCGTTTTCCGTCCATAAGAGCCACCCTATCAGTAACAGAGAAGTGGATGTGAGGTTCTGGACTCTTTGGGGGGTCACGGGGCACCCCAGCAGGTAGGAGTATTTCTCGACAGGAGCAAAAGCTCAAAATGTCACCATAATCTTAAAATGGAGTGGCAGGGGTCCATCTGTCCACCTGAAGACCGGATGACCATAGCAGCACTTTTCACAGTAGCCCCAACCCGAAGGCACTTTAAACGGCCATCACACCCGGGTGGGCCAATATGTCAATGCGGCGCAGAGCGACGGAAATGTCGCGAACAAGTTGGGCCCAGAATCCAGAGCAGAGCTTCTCAAATGGTGACGTGCACACACACACTAAAGCCACACAGTGCAGGAGTTCGTTCACTCAGGGTGACCGCCCCATTGGGTTCACTCGTTCTTAGCGCCGAGGGACCCATTTCCCAGAAAACCCCTCAGTCCCAAGCAAACTGGGAGGGACGGTCACCTTACATTTGTGCAAAGTTAAAAAAAAAAAAATGGCAAAACTAATCTATGCCATTAGAAGTCAGGAGCGTGGTTCCTTGGGGTTAGGGTGGTGACAGGATAGGGGGTCCCAGGGGGCTCTCGGGGGCTGAGAACGTTTTGTGTCTCAGTCAGAGTGCAGGTGACACACGCGTACGTTGTGTGTTTCCTTTCCGTACGTTTTATTTTAAGTAGAGAAGAAAAGTCAGCAATAATGAGAGGCGGGGAGGCACGGCGGTTAAGAGTGGATGCTTAACTCCCAGCTCTGATGCCAGCGGTTAAATAGTTTCCCCGTGCCTCAGTTTCCTCGTCTGGGCAGGGCAGGAGACACCAAGCGTCCGGGTGCCTTTACTGCTGGGGCTCGCGGCTGTGTGTCAGGGCAGAGGCCGGAAGGCACTGTGGCTGCAGAGACGTGGGGTGCCAGTGCTGGAGAGCACGGAGGTGGGGCTGGGAGGTCACTAACCCCCTCTCACCCTAGTAGGGTCCTGACACCTTCCCAGGGCCCTTCCTCCCCAAAAGCCTGGGCCCGGGGTTTGTGCCCATAGCACCAACCATTTCTAACCGTTGAGAGCCCCTGACCCCCTCTTGAGATTGGAAAACAACAGAGCGACCTTTGGGGTGGTTTTACTGAAGTCCTTTAGCCTCAGGTTACGGCTCCATAGGTGGGGAGGCTAGAAACCATGACGGTGAGTAATCACAGCTCCGTTACTGGGTACTAACTATGTACCAGGCCCCGTACGAAAAGCATTCTATGCTTAAGCCTCGTCACACTTGGAGATGGGTATTGTTCCTCTCCCATTTTACAGAGTGGTTAAGTAACCTGTCTTGGTCACACAGCAGTCAGGGCAGAGCCGGCTCCTGAGGCCGTGCTCCCAAACCCTACACCATAGCTCACCCTCTCACTCGAGGGTGGGCAGGATAAGATGATGTCTTGTGCATCCAGGGCTCAGCACACAGTAGGTGATCAGCGCCACGTCACTCTGCCATCTGGTGGTCAGGGACTCTCCTGGCTCCCAGAATCCCTGATCCCAGCCCTCTACTCACTTTGGCCACACTCGTCACCAAGGGATGCTCCTTGGCTTCCTGCAGGGCAGCACAGATGGTCTCCACGGCCTCGTCGATCCGTCTCTGACAGTCTTCAGAGGGCCTCAGGGATCTCTGGATAAATGTACCCAACTCCTGGGCAAGTATCTGGTACAATCGGTAGGTTCCCATTGCTCCTGCTGTCCTGAGGTGACAGCTAATGGCAGAGCTGGAAGCCGAGGAGGAAGAGCAGCTCCTGGGCTGACGGCCAAGACCGCTTGGAAATTGAAACTGGAAACTGAAACTTAGGGAGGAGCATCGCCAGCCGACTTCCTGAGTCCAGGGTTCTGTCCGTCCCTCGGCTGCGGTCACCCGCCTTTCAGCAGCAACCGTTGAGTCCTGGTGAGGAAACAGCTTCTGAAGCCCATCTGTGGGCTCGATACAGACTGGACCTGTGTCCTTGAGCACACTGCCCTCCCTCTTTGTGCCTTGACGTCCCCATCTGTAAAACGGGGGTAACGGTGGTACCTCTCCCATCAGGTTACTGCGAGGATGAGACAATACGTGCAAAACGCTCAGAACCGGGTCGGGCACACAGCAAATGCTATCTAAATGTGTCGTAAGCAAATAAAATTTTACAGGGGGCCGGGCGGATGGGGACGCTCTTTCCCCATCTTCCTGTTTGCGGCGGCCTGAGAACTCAGGCTCCTTGAGAGCGGCAAGGAGAAAGAGCCTCAGAGAGGCGATGGGCTTGCTGAGGGACACGCCGCAAAGCAAGGGCCGAACTGGACGCGGGTTTCATTTTGCCAGGTCCCAGAGCGTCAGAGAGGGGCAGCTTCTCTGTGCCCAGTTCCTCAGCATGTGGACACCTGCAGGGCCTCATCGGGCACTCATCCCACTCACCAAGGACAGAAAACAGTCTCGGAAAGTACCCAGGTCAGAGTGGAGACAGACATGCGACTCCCGCGTCCAGAGCTATGAAAACAAAACCCCCAGAGGGCTCTCACTGGCTGACCCTGTGACGCAGGGACAAACGTCTCCAAAGCGTGAGAACAGAACGTTTCTCTGCTGTGATGCTTAATTTTGCACGTCAACTTGGCTGGGTCATGGTATCTAGATATTTGGTCAAACGTTATTCTAGATCTTCCTGTGAAGGTATTTTTTTTTTTAAGAGATTAACATTGAAATCAGTGGATTATGAGTAAAGCAGATTACTCTTTATAACGTGGGTGGGCCTCATCTAATCAGTCGAGGGCCTTCATTGGAAAAAAGACTGACCTCCCCTGAGGAAGAGGGAATTTCTCCAGCAGATAGCCTTCAGGCTGGAGATGTGACATCGGCTTCTCCCTGGGTCCTCCTACCAGCCTATGCTGCAGAATTTGGACTTGCCCACCTCCACAATAGCATGAGCCAATTTCTTAAAATAATTCTCACCCAGCATCTAGGTTTATACATCCTGTCGGTTCTGTTTCTCTGGAGAACCCTAATACATGTGCCCAGGAATGGTCCTTCTCTCCCCTTAACTGACTTGTACTGTAGCATCAAGGGGTCAGCTGGGCAGGGGTCATAGGCTCCTTTCCTAGGTGAAACCCGTAGGCTCAGAGAGGTGGAAACATTGCCCAAGGTCACACAGCTAGTAAGTTGTCTGGCTAGGTTCTAATTCCACGCTACCTGATTCTAAAGTCTGTGCTTTATTTATTATTATTTTTAAAATGTTTGATTTTGAAAGAATTTGAAACATTGATATGGCCCTCACGTCATATATACGTTATCAGTATTATGATTATTGAGCCACTTGAGTGCATTCACTGATGCTATGCCCCTTTACTTTTACCAAAAAATACTTTTTTTTAGAGCAGTTTCAGGTTCACAGCTAAATTGGGCAGCAGGCCCAGAGACTTCCTATATGTCCCCTGCTCCCACACCGCAAGCCTCCCCCCGTCAACGTCCCCCGCCCAAGTGGGACATTTGTTACAGTCGATGAACCTACATTGATGCATCGTAATCGCCCAGACCTTTTTCCTCTGAAATACTTCCATACATATCCCCTGAGAACAGGGCTGCTGTCTCCTGGTCCTCCCCTCTGGCATGGACCACGTCCTCACCCACCCAGCGGAGGTCACAGCATCTCTGTCCCTCGGCCCTGGGCATCCATTCCTCCACGTGCCACGGGGCTGGGAGCTGAAACGCTCGCTTCTCGGACTCCGGCGAGTTCTGACTGTAATTTATTTTAGTATATATATCTTTTCAGTTTATAATTTTATTTTTTAAAATGTTTTTATGTAATAAAAAGTAAAAGTCCTTGACCCACCATTGTGAAGCATCTGTCCCTCACACAGGTCACTCGAGTTAATGGGGAAGATGGAACAGGAGGCCCAAGTCTGAGGGTATACACGAGGCAAAAAAACAGATCTTTGTCTCCAGTGGGGGATAGATGAGAGGGGGGGAGGACAAGATGGGGTGGGGATGGGCAGGGGCAGAGCAGCTCCCCGCCCCCGTGGGTCCCTGGGCCTGCCCGCTGAGGGCTCTCCCATTCCAGGTGCTTGGCAGAGAGGGGGGACTGGAGGGCTGGGACTGGTCCCAGCTGCTGGGCGAAGAGACACAGGCTGCTCTCCCCACCGATCACGGAGGTCTCAGTTCTCTGGCCAGAACCATCTTCAGTTCCCTGAGGGGTGGGAGGGGAGCTGCTGGGAGGGACAAGGTTGAGCTGGTGGGAGGGGAAAGAGGAAACGGCAAAAGCATTAGAACCCACGCAGCTGTCTGTCCGTCCAATGCCTTCGAGCGTGGGGTGTGTGTATGTGGGGGGCAGGGGAGTGTGTTCGTAGGAGTGGCCTCCTCAAGGTGTCTCACGGGGCTGTCAGAAGCACCAATCAAATGCTGTTCCCCAGTGCTGGCTCGAATTTAGATTGTGCTAACGGAGGGAGGCAGAAGCCACCCTCGTGCGGTGCTGGTGGCTGTCAATTCCTGAGACATGTTTGTGGCTGCTGGAGTCCACATCCCCGGGTCTGGACCCCAGCTTCGGGGGTGTGAGGCAGGGGACGGCTGCAGTGGCATCAGCCCGACTTCTGATTTAGCTATGGTGGTCTAATCTCGAAACCAATAGTCCAGGGGTGAACTCAACTTCCTCCACCCCATTTGGGGGTTTAGACGGGATCTCTTTCTGCTTCCGATTCCTGGAGCACTTTCTGTTTTCTGTGCTGAGCTGTGACTAGGAGGGACGGTGTTGCCGGAATGGAGTCAGGAGTCCCTTCTGCATGGACCTGGTGGATTCGCTCCAGAGGGCGGAGAGAAACAGGCTGAGCACGGTTGTGTGGGCAATGGCTCATGTTCAGGCTTTCAGGATGGAGGACCCCACTGGGGGCAGTCCAGCAGGTATGCCAGTCGGAGAAAAGACAGGAGGTCAGTAAAAATCTGAGAAGGCAAGGAGGGCCTGGCAGAAAACAGTCTCGGATGGGAAGATGAGTGAAACTGGGAAGATGAGTGAAACAGGAAGGGCGAACGAAAGGAGGCCTCCGATGAAAAGGTATCCAATGAAGTGTTCAAGGAGAGGGACCACATGGCCTGCATGTCCCCACTCCCTCGGTCCGCATCTATGGCAGACAAAGCTAACCGATCTGGGCATGCTCTCCTGCTGGCGGCTGAGCTCAGAGGGCTTCTTGATAGTCCAGACATATACTGCAGTTCTGCGAGCACCTTCTTCCTGCATCCGGGCCAGACATTGCTAATCGATCACGGCACTTATGCCTCCTTTCCCATGCTGCATCCATGACAGACATCACTCACTGATTAGGTCACTCTTCCCAGCTATCCATTCTTCAGAATCCTTCAAAACCTAGAGCTCTGGGCAGCCATAACCAACTGAGTGTGGCTGAAAAAAAGAGATGAAAATTTTGCCAAGATGAAAAGTTCTTGGATTGGGGAAGGAGGAGAAGCCATTGGGAGGTCATGGATGGTTTTCAGGAAGAAGGATGTGAGCTTGTGTAGACGGGCAGACAGAAACCGGGGGGAAGGAGGACATTCTCGGCGGGAGCAGGGTGCAGTGTGAGATGCAGCTGAGAACAGAGAGTCATAATGGTGATAGAAAAGCTGGAACCCCAGGCTGGTGCCAACCCATGGCATCTGGACTCCAGTGTGTAGGCAGCAGGAGGCAGGGGAGTGTGTGGAATGGGTAGTCTGATACGGGGGGATTCAATGAAGTTCGGCGAGGCTGGGTAAGCAGAGGGGGCTGCCTGGAGGAGAGGGCAGAGCCGGCAGGCAGGAATGTCAGCTGGGAGGCTGGACTGAGGAGAGTGGATTCACTGAATCTCAATCTCTTAATTCTCTCTCTCTCTCTCTCACACACACACACATCTGGCAGGTGCCCCTGAGTCTCTCCATGCTGAAGGCTGGTGTCCATCCGTCCATCTGGTGACCGCTGATTTTCCGGGCTTCACACAGCAGCCTGGGGAGAGATGTTACCCCTCACCTTTCTGGAGAAGCCAAGACCACAGGGACAGACAGAACCGGGAGGAACGGGGGCACATCCGGGCCCCGACTGGGCCCCGCCCCTTTGGGAAGAGTCACGCCCCTCCCCTGACCACATCGCCCGCCAACAAAGGGAGCTCCCTCTGCCCCACAGGGCTCTCACCTTCACGGGCCATGGCTGGACGGGGCTGCCATCCCGGCTTATGCAGCACAGGGCGGACGTGTAGGCTGCGGCTTCCTGGGCCAGCAGGTCCCAGCGGGCATTGTGGCCCAGGTTGCCTGTCGGGTCAGCGGGATCCAGGATGATGGGCCTGCAATTCCCATCCGGGGTCAGTCTTATTCTTGGCAACATGTGGGTGTCCACCTGTGGGATCAGCTGGACTATTCTCCTCCCCGCACCCCAAACTCCGCATGGGGCAGGGACAGGGCCCAGAGGCTCTTCCGTGCTCTAGGCACACACTGGAGGGCAGGAGAGAAAATAAACTACACCTGGACCCCTTCTGCAGGCCGCATCCTGGCAGACATTACTAATCAATCACGCTGGCCCTTTCCTCATGCATGGCAGGCATCGCTAGTCGATTGTAGCCGTGGTTCAAGCACTCTCCCTTCCTGCCTTCCTGGTAGAGGGCCCTCACTGATGAAGCCACTGTCTTCAGCGGAGCCACTTCACAGCCTCAGAGTCCTTGTCAACCTATCGCTTTAAGGAGCCACTACCCACGGACCGGAGATGGATCACGAATTTGTGAGAGGATCTCCGTTATCTCTGCGGCATTTCAGAGGTGGGCCGAAGCCCAAGGAGTGAGACATTCTTGTGCTACCGGGCGGGTTCGCAGATAGGGTCGCCAGATTTAACAAAAGCATATGAAGGATGCCCAGTTAAATCTGAGTTTAGGATAAACAATGAATAAGGTTGTTTTTTTTAAAAAAATAAGTATATCCCGACTACTGCGTGGGACATACTTATACAAAAAAGTTAATCATCATTTATCTGAAATTCAAATTTAACTTAGAGTCCGGCATTTCATCTGGTAACCCTCTTCCCAGGTGACCAGGAAATGGGCTGCCTGTCCCTCAGGGGTTAAGGATATTACTTCTAGAGAGGAGAATTTTCTAGAAAATTCTAGAAAGTTCTAGAAAGAGGATTTTCCTCTCTCTGCCCTGTGCCCTCAGGAGCTGGGGGGAGAGTGAGCCACCCTGGACTTGAGACTCTGGGGCTTTGGGGGCGGGCCTGAACCTGGGCTTCTGAAGCTGCAGCTTCAGGAAGTCTGCGACGGTCTTGTTCTCGTAGTTGTAGTTGACAGTCCAGTAGATGCAGAGCTGGTGGTACTGGGTGACCAGCTCCAGGACAGTGCGGAAGCCCTCGGCCATGTTGAACTGGGTGCCCTGCCCGCTCTGCTCCCAGGCGTACACGGTCAGGAGTTCCAGCCCGTGCTGGGGCGGCAGGGAGCCTTTCCCCTTGGGCATCTTGTTGCACTGGGGAATGAAGAAGAAGATAATGCGTGGGTCCCCACTGGCAATGAAGAGCTGTGGGAAGGGGGCGCTTCTGGAGCCCGCAAACCCACCCCCAAACTTTTACCGAGCCCCTACAGTGCCAGATGCCTCGCCTGGCATTATCCCATCTAGTCCTGTGACATAATGATGTCAGCCCAACCTTACCGATAAGAAAATAAAGCCCCTCAGCTAGGACAAATCCCCCTTTCTGCTCCCCCGACCCAGGGTCCCGGCCTGGGCTGGCCCCGCCTGCTCCCGGAAGCGCCCTCCAGAGGCAGAACCCCGGGCTGCCAGCGGAGTGGCCCGTCCCGCTGCCAGACCTGCTGGTACCAGTGCTTCACCAGTCGGATCAGACTCTTCAGCTTGGTGGGGCGAGAGACGATGAAGTTCCGCTGCAGCTCCGTGAAGCAGGGCGAGTACTCGCCCGCGTGGCTGTAGCTGTGCACCAGGTCCACGTAGACCTGGGGGCGGGGCCGTGAGCCTGCGACCAGCTGGCCTGGAGACGGGGGGCAGGTGACAGTCACATCACTTCCCAGAGCCGCGGTGGGGCCAACTAAAGGACTTCTGAGATCTCCTACTTGGGTGTTTCCCTACCGATGGTCTGAGACCCCCTTGGGAGGACACGGGGTGTTTTTAGGGAGAATGCAAACATGGCCTGACCTGGCGTCAGATCCCTGATGAGCCTCTTCCTCCCTTTTCTGCCTCCTTTCAACCTCCATGTTTATCTGTCATGGAGAAAGTCTCAGCTGGGAGCTCAGGTGACACCTGCTCATCATCTCTCTAACAAAGGGAGACCCTCCTGCAGGTGACAGACCTGTATGTGCTGAGAGCTGACATCACTCTGGTCCCAGTGCCCTTAAAGACATTCTTTGGTACCCAAACTCTCGCTCTCTGAACGGAGGAACCGAAAGGGTTCAGATAAATTTCTGGATCAATCCCTCCCTCGCTACTCGTTTTGCAAAACGCAGGCACCAAACACATGAAGATACGGGGGATTTCGTCCTTTGGCAAACTCTGCTGTCCAAACTCAGAACCGAACAGACACAAAGAGAACAGATCACAAAGTGATCAACATGCACATCTATCTATAACGCCTACAATGCGAACAGGTGTGGGTTGGCTGTGACCTGTACAACTGTTCCTGGCTGTCCTGCCTCTGCTTCTCTCCTTCCTTCTCAGGACGAGGTCTGGGTGCCTCACCTAGGGCGTCGAAGGCTGGCAGCACGTCGAAGGCCACGCTCTGTTCCAGCATCGTCCGGGACGTCAGCGAGAAGCTCAGCACGCGGGGATTCTCCCACTTGGAGATCTCAAACTTCACTTCGAACGGCCACTCCCGCTGACACGCCTCCAGCTGCGCTCGGATCTCCGAGATGATCTCGGCCCGCATGTTCCCTTGCTCCGTGAACCGGCTGAAGCAGCTGAGGAATACCACGAGGTCGGCATCCGAGCGGCCTTGCAGAGCTGTGCCTTTGGCTGAAGAGCCACCCTGGGGAGGACATGGCAGGTGGCTTGAGCTCTGCAGTACTGCTTGACGTGCTCCTGCTGGAGCCTATGGGCTCTGGACTCTTGAGTTAAGACCTGCTGTGTGACCTTGGGCAAGTCACCCAACCTCTCTGTCTTACATCTGTAATATGGGCTTAATACATGGCGTAATTGTGAGAAAAAGAAATGTGCAAGACATAAGTTTAGATCCTTCAACAAATGCAAAATTTCTCATCCCATCACGTTTGGGAGCTCAGAGTTGTTCTGTTTTGTTTTTGTTTGCTTGTGTTTGGCCTGCAGTTGGTTCTCTCAAGCCTGTCTGTATCAGGAGAGCTTTTAAAAATGACCGATGCCTGCTTCCTACGCCTCCTGAGACTGTGATTTAATTTTCCTGGGAGGGAGCTTGGGCATCGGCATATGTTTTTTAAAAGCCTCCCTGTGATTCTAAGTGAAGCCGCCGTTAAGAACTAGCGAGTCGGGCTACTGTCCTCAAGCGTCATGGATGAGGAAGGCAAGGATCAGAGAAGGGAAGCTATTTGCCTGGGGTCACACAGCAAGGCCCCAGGCCTGGGACTTGTCATTGGCTGACTCCGTGCTGAAACTCTTTCCAGAGCTAACCTGTTTCTTCCTGTAACTCTAGTCGTATCCGGTCGTATCTGGTATGGCGGATAACGTGACTTTTTGTAGACCCCCACTACCCTTTCTACCTTCCGGAATCAGCACTGGGTTTTTCAGAGGGAATCACCCCTCCCCCACACTCAGCCCCAGAGACCCACGTGGGGCTGACTCGCAACATGACCCAGGCTTGGCCAGTCAGCACATAACGTCTCCCTAGCCTTAGTGATGGAGTAAGGAATACATAGCCAGGCCAACGAAACTCGATTCTAAGACGTCTTCAAATTTTGAGAAGAGAGAATTCCCCTTTTAGAGATGCCAAAGGCCCATGATATGGACAGGGCCCGTCCAAGACAGAAGACAGAGCCAAGAGCTACGAAGAAGAGCTGAGTCCTGAAGAGCCTTCATGGGCTCCTGGGTCTCGCTGTGCCTGAAGGCAGATCTATTCTAGGGGGCCCCATTTTCATCAGCCAACACATTCTTGTTGGTGCTTCTTTTGGCCATCGTGAGCCACCAAAAGATGCTTGTCGGGCACATCTGGATCCTCCCTCGGCCATCCAGCCATGACCATGTCCTGCTTTCTCCTCTGGGCTTGGCCTTGTGCCAAAGCCTGGGACAGATCACCAGCCTGCAGGACCTTCTTTTCCCATATGTCCTGCTTTCTCCTCTGGGCTTGGCCTTGTGCCGGTCAGGCTGGGCCGAAGCCTGGAACAGATCACCAGCCTGCAGGACCCTCTTTTCCCACGCTCTCTGGGGACTCACCTTGACCACCTTGAGCACTTTGATGGGAGAATTCCGGAAGCAGTTTTCCCTTAGGAATGAGCAGATGGCATCGACGGCCTTGTTCACCTGAGCCAGGAACTGGCTGTTGGGCTGGAGGAATGCAGTGATGAACTTGTCGAGGTCCTCGGCGGGGGTCTGATAGAGGAGAGCGGGCTGCAGAGAAAGCCAGGCAGGGCCAGCTGAGACAGAGTCCCTGTAACGCCCAGGCCCCGCCCCCCGATACCCTGTGAGGACGAGGCTCCCACTGTCGCCAATAGCTCCTTTTTCTCCTCAACTGCTTGGCAGGTCCCAGCACCAAAGGGACCAGAGTTCAAGTTCTGGATCTACCGCCCGCATACAGCCTCAGTTTCCCCATCTTTAAATGGGGGTAAGAACGAGGCCCACGCCTCACTGGATTGTCTTGAGCGTTAAGCACTTGTTTAGGAGCTCCTGCTGCAAAACTGTAAATGTGATAAAATCATATCCTTTGGGCATCCGCAAATGGCTATCATCGTAAGTGGGGTTCCCCAGAAGCAGAGCCCATGATGGGGAGTCTTTGCACGTGATTAACCGGGGAGGTGCTTGCAGGAGAAAGGGAGCGAGGGAAGCAGGAGAGGGTGGGGAAGTCTCAGCCGGAGGAAGCTCCGCCACCCCCCCATCCCCCTGAATCCCACAGGGAGCTCTGGAGCATGAATCTCCTCATCGTGTTGGTCCTGCCTTGAAATGAAGGTGGGCCTCTGTGCGCACGTCACCCAGGCACTGGCTACGATGAAACGCCCTGTGCCTTGGCTGTAAGCCATCAGCATCCAACACTCCCAGCATCTGGGGACATGCGCACGGGTGGGGAAAGGGGATCTAGGACAAGGCACCCACGGTGTCTGTCACCTCTGGGACACACATCTTACCATCACGTCCCACGGTTCCACAGGCGTCCCTTCTCTACTCATCAAGCAGGCCTGAGTCTCCAAGGCTGCTGCGTTCTCGGCCAGTAGCTTCCAGCTGCCGCAGCCCACGTTCCAGGTAGGGTCGGCAGGGTCCAGGATCAGGGGCCTGGGGGGCAGAGCGGGTGGACAGGCAGGTGGGGATGGTGGGAAGCAGTGAAGGAGCCGGGGGGTGGGTGAGACCGTGACGGGGCCTGGGTGCTGGGGAGAGGGAGGATGTCAGGACGTTCGGGAGGGCCCAATCTTGACCAAGCACAGCAGCGCCCCTGCCTGGTTGCCTGGTCTGGAAGCTGCTGAGTGGCCCTTCAGGGGGCACCTCAACCCCACCATGGACCCCTCCTGGGTACAGTGACTCCAGGATGACAGTGAGAGAGAAGGATGACGCGGATTGGGAAATGAGGTAGTGGGTTTGCACCTGGGTTTGCGAAGCTGGCCAAGCATGTGTGTTCTGAGACTTGGGTCCTCCAAGCTATAGTTGACTGTCCAGAAGACACAGAGCTGCTGGTGCTTTTGGACAAGGCTCAGGACGGTCCTTAGGCCTGTCGCCATGTTGAAACTCTCCTTCCCACAGCCCTGCTCCCAGGCGAAGATGGTCAGGAGCTCCAGGGCATAGGCTGGGGGCAGGGAGGCACAGCCCCGCCGCTCTCCTTTGTTCTGAGCTGCAACCTAGGTCACCCAAGGCCAATCAAAGAATCAGTGGATGATAGCACCTCCTGTGTGCTGAGCGTGTTCCTAAGCACTTGGAGAAGGAAAGGAATATAAAAAACAAAACCAGGGAAATAGACTCTTAGGGATGGCCTGGCTCACCTTTCTCGTTTTACAGGTGGGAAAACTGAGGTCCAAAGTAGGGTGGTGGCTTGTCCAAGATTACACACTGAGACTAAGAAGCTCAGACTTGGTCTTTGCCTAGAATCTTTTCTCACAGCAGTTAGCAATGGTGGGCGAACAGTAAATGTTTGTTGAATAAATGACTGCGTAAGTGCGAGAAGTGTCTGCTGAGGGAGCTCTGATGGATGCTCAGGATTTAGCACAACTTGCAAAGGAGATGACGATGGGGGAACAGTGTAAGCAAAGGCTCGGGAGTGAGAAAGAACAGGGAAAGCATTAGCCGTGGGAGGAGGGGAGAAACAGATGGCTGGAGAAGGACTGTGAACCTCGGCCACAAGAAATGAAGATCTCTGGACTGGATTCAGAAAAGATTCTCTCTCAGCCAAGGGCTTCCTCATCTGGGCAGGAAATGAAGGATGGAGGAGGTGGTCCTTCCGCTTGGGATGGACCAATAATAAAAAGTGAAGGAGGGGGAGCTGTCTGTGTAGGGGAGGAGCTGATTGGCCGGGCAGTTGCCATGACAGCGACTTCCTGGGAGGAGCAAGGTGGGAACGGAGCCCTCACCTGGCGGTACCAGTGCTTCACCAGCATGATCAGGTTCTTCAGCTTGGGTGGGCGAGTGTTCACGAAGTTTCTCCGCAGCTCTGTGAAGCAGGCGGCATGCTCGCCCTCCTGGCAGCCGCTAACCAAAAGGGTCGAGTAGACCTGGGGCTCAGGTTTGGTGCCAGAGCTGAGCGGCCCTGTGGATGTTTGAAACACTCTTAAGTGTGCAAGTCTAAATGAAGACAGCAGCATTTCCCAGCCCAGCCACTCACTAGCCTTCGATATTTTAACATGGATTATATAACTTTGCAATCCATAATATACAATCGATAACATAGACTAACGATCAGAAGTATTATTTTTTAGCACCAACTACATGCTGGGTGCTTCAATGATTTTTACTAATCCACCCAATAACTGCAAGGTGGATAATCTTGAACCCAAACAAGCTATGTAACAAAGTGGTTAAGAGAATGAACTTTGGAGACAGGCCTAGGTTCAAATCCCAGCTGTGTGACCTTGGGTCTTTGGGTCTCAGTTTCCTTATCTGTAAAAGGGAGATAATAACACCTACCTCATAAGGCTATGATAAGAATCAAATGACATCTACGTGTGAAGTGTTTAGAACAATGCTTAGAACATACCATGCACTCAATAAACATAAACTGCAAAAAGAGGAAACTAGAATGAGTCCCACCCCTCTCTTTCATTAGGCTGGCACTCAGGAACAGATGCCTTCTTCATGAAAGGTGACTGACAAAGGGCACCCTTTAACAGAGAGAGGCATTAAGGAAGTTTCGGGTTATGTGGGGGGAATAAAATTCCCCATGAGAAATTGAGGTCTCGATCTTCTGCCAAATGAAGGTATGAAGACTGAATTTATAGTACCTTCACAGTGAGGAAAGCCCAGACCATTCAACTGATGGAAAACTGGCTTGGGAATTAGTGGAACTCTTGGAGCTCGGCTAGAAGCAAAATAAAAACTTGGTTCCCTGAGGATCTCTCTCTAACCCAGAGCAGAAGGAACTTCCACAGGAAAAGGAAAGGAAAGAAAAGCTCCAGATGCCCCAGAGATGAGCTCACAATAAAAAATGACAAACCACATGAGGAAATGACCCACCGTGAGGGAGAGACAGGCGACACAACGGGTAGGAGAGTGAACACTTCAGGAATTGGAGAAAATAGGCCAATCTGAGAGGCGAAAATAAGCATATTCAAAATAAAGAGATAAAAGGGACTGAAGTCATAATGAAAGAATATAGAAGCCCGTGAGCAAATAACAGGTCGGTTTGAGAATGAGCTACACAGAACTCCTAGAAGTGAAAAAATAAGTCCTTGGGATTTATTAAAAATCAAGGATGCGCAGCGGATCAGACACATTTGAAGACAGTAAACTGGAAGACAGACTTGAGCAACTGAGCAGCAGGAAGCCCTGCGAAATAAAAGGGAAATACGAGAGGATGAACAGACACAGAGGATGAAGTGAGAAACTGTTTAACAGTAGTTCCAGAAGGAAACAGGAGACAATATTCGAAGAGATATCAGGAGACATTTCCCCAAAACTAAAGGAAGAATTGAGTTTTCAGATTCGGGAAGCATCACAAATTCCAAACAGTATAATTAAAAAAGAAATCTATATACGGACATATTGGAAATGGAAGAATACTATGGACTGAGGGAAAGTCTTAAAGGTAACCAAATAGGAAAACAAAACCACACATACGTCATCGTCATCATCATCACCATTATCGCCATCATCATCATCAACAACGACATAAACTGACAGCTGATTTCTCAGCAACCACAGAGGTCAGAAGACAGTCAAAACGGAAGAAAACAACTGTCCGACATTTCCTCCAAGAGCGAGGCTGAAACAGAAAGGTGTTTAGACAAAGTCTGAGAAAATTTATCACTCATAAACCCTTTCTGAAAAAAAAAGTACTACAGGAGGTATTTCTATAAGAAAGAAGTGATTCTAGAAGGAAGAAATGGAAATTTCTTCCAATGATGAGGGGAAAAATATTGCCAATTATGCTCATAGATTTCAATTTGCACAGGCTGTAACCAAACAAAAGCAAAAGAAAATAATCTTCCTTATTGTTAGTGTCTTGTACGTCAGCTCCAATATTTTATTAGACCCCTCAAAATTATTATATTATTCTTGTTTGTTTAATTTTTGTCTTTTTACCTTTATGCTACTTATAAAAGGTACAATTACAATTTAATAACACATCCTTTAAAGTAAAAAGTGGAAAAAGGTATGCTAGAAAAACACTATCAAAAGAGAAATGCAAATTAAAACCACAATGAGATATCACCTCACAGCTGTCAGAATGGCCATCATCAATAAATCAAAGAACAACAAGTGTCGGCGAGGATGCGGAGAAAAGGGACCCCTCATGCACTGTCGGTGGGACTGCGAATTGGTACAGCTACAATGAAAAACAGTCTGGAGGTTTCTCAAAACATTAAAAATGGACCTACCTTCTGACCCAGTAATTGCACTTTTGAGTATTTATCCAAAGAAAACCCAAACAATAATTCGTAAAGATCTATGCACCCCTATGTTCACGGCAGTACAATGTACAATAGCCAAGATATGGAAGCAACCCAAATGCCATCAACAGATGACTGGATAAAGAAGTTATGGTTTCATATATACAATGGAATATTACTCAGCCATAAAAAATTAAATCTCACCATTTGCGATGGACCTAGAGGTTATTAAGATGAATGAAGTCAGACAGAGAAAGAGAAATACCATGTGACTTCACTTATATGTGGAATCTGAGGAACAGGAAAAAAAAAACAAATCAAAACAGACCTACAAACATAGAGGACAATCTGGTGATGGCCAGAGGGGAGGGGGATGGAGGAGCTGGGAGAAAGAGGTGAAGGGTTAAAGAAGTACACATTAGTAGTCGATAGGTGGTCACGGAGATGGGGAGCGGTCAGCAGCAATGCAATGGCTAGGTGGAGAGCCAGAGGGAAGATAGCGTAATCAGGAGAACTGTTTCATAAACGATATAAATGTCTAAGCAACGTGCTGTATACTCAAAACTAATAATAAAATAAATTTTAAAAATAAAATCTGTTAAAAAAAAAAAAAGACCAGTGCAGCTCTATTACTATCAGACAAAAAAGGCTTTAAGGAAAATAGAATTTAGAAATAATGAGGATTATTACCTAATGATAAAAGGAAAAGTCCAAGAGAAATATAAAATTATGGACTTACATGTTCCTTAATAATATAACCTCAAAATATTAAAATCAAAACTTTTCAGAATTATAAGGAGAAACGGACAAATCTCCATTCAGAGCAGGAGAGTTTAAGATATCCCATCATAAACTGATAGACCAAAGCAGCAAAAAAAACAAAAAAAAAATAATAATAATAATACAGAGATGAACAAAGATCATAGGCTAGGTCTAAAGGATGTATACAGAAGCCCACATTCAGTAATGGAAAGCATACATTCTTCTCAACCATGGGAAACGTAGAAAGTGCCAACAAATTCCAAAGAATTGGTATCCCATAAGGGATATTTTCTGATTGCAATTAAAAATAGAAAAAGTTAACATAGAGAATATAGTCATTAATATTAAAATAACTAAGTACGGCGTCAGATGAGCACTAGACTAATTGGGGTGATCACTTCTTATATCCATGTCTAATTACATATATCAATGTTGTACACTTGAAACTAATATAATGTTGTATAGTATTATATGTCAACTGTAATTGAAAAATAAATTGCAAAATATAGAAAAAGATAACTAAACTCCCAAAGCACACAAACCGATAACCCCCCAAAACATTCATTTGGAAACCCACTTCCAAATATGTATGGCTGAAAGAACAAATCAGAATGTCATAATTAAAAGTACAAAATATTTAGACCTGAGTGATAATAAAAATTATACATATATATACAATCTCTACCTAAGGGTAGAAAATTGTTTTCAACTAGTATGTAAAATATATTATTACTAAATAATATATGTGAAAAAAATAATTTATAAAAATTCATATATACGAATTTTAACCCAAACCTGTTATAACTGGCATAATTGTTTATGGATTTCATAGCTTTGAAATCCATAAACAGAAGCTAGTGGTAAAATGGAATCAGGCCAGTAATTTCTAAAGATGCTATGCCTGTCAGACTAGTGCCATTATTTTTGTCTTATTAGTGTTGTTTATTTTGAATAATGAATGATGCCTGGGCTATAGATTAATTTGTTTTTATCTGATTAATAATGAATGATGCCTGGGTGGTAGATTCGTTTGTTATTATCTGTTTAATTTGTTTTGTGTAGGGTCTAACAATGTCACATTCATTCACAATGTCAGCATTTAATAAACATTTTGGGATGATAACTGAAATCTCACAATGTGTGTTGTCCATTTAATCACCGTCGTACAGGAACTATCATGCCTTCTATGTCGATTATGCACTCAGAGTTTAGAAGAGATAATGATACTCAGATTTATGTTTGACTATGTTAAAATAAACACTGAGTTTGAAACAAAAAAAATTATACATATAAAATATGCTATGCAGCTGAAGTGTAACTGTAGATGGACATGTATTGCCTTAATTGCATTTATCAAGATTGACAATTACTAAGCTAAGACTCAGCTCAAAAGTTAGAAAATTAACAATAAAGTAAAGCCTCTTAACAAGGAAGGACATTTCAACACGCAATTGCTTAGGGAAAAAAAAAAACAAACCCAAGCAGATATGGAGAATTGCTAACATTCGTTAAATGGTCACTGGAGTACATGGGTGTGTGGTATCTAGTTTTCTGTATGTTTGAAACATTTTGTAACTAAAACTTTAATAAATTTACGAGCACGAAATAGTTACAAATGGCTGATGATGTTGACTTTAGGGATCCCACAGTTTTCAACGCTTCGTGGAGTGGGAGAGTTAAGATTATAAGAATATTGCAAGCTCCCTGGTCCCCTGGGGTCCCTATTAGGCTGGGCATCCCTCACCCACGGCATCAAAGACGGGCAGCAGGCTGACGTCCATCTGGCTTCCTAGGGTCGTGGACACTAATTGGAACTGCAAAGCCTCGGGCACAGTGTGCTTTGAAAACTGGAGGCTCAGGTCGGGGACGGGATCTTGCCATGAGGATTCCAGCTGTGCCCGCATCTCTTCAAGGGTCTCTGCACGGCGGGCCCTCTGGTCTTTGAAGCTCTTGAAGCAGTTGAGGAAGATGGCGAGTTCGACATCACAGCCACCCCTGAGGTGCGTGCCCCGGCCGAATGAGCCTCCCTGTAGACGGAAGAACATCTCAGACCAGCGACTGTTTCTGGGCCCAGAAGTCAGACTGTGACCTTGCCAGCAGCCTCCCGTCGGCAGCCCCGAAACCGCTCCGTCACTGATGTTGGGTCCGCACGAACCGTGTGACCTCTGACGGTTAGAAGCCTGGCAAAGTCAGACTGTATCTGCCTGCACCTGCCCTCTGATCCCGAAGCCTGCCCAGCCAGACAATATTTGGCAACTGATAACAGGGGCAGGGGCGGGGGAAAGTGATCAAAGGTTTTAGCCAAACATCTGCGGCACCTACTGATTGCACATCTGGACCACGGCTTGCAAATTGAGGTCCCGGGCCCAAATGGGGCCTACAGATGTGCTCTGTTGGCCCGTTTCAATCAATCAATCAATCAGTCAATCAATTTGTTCATTCACTCATTCACTCATTCATTCAACAGGCATTTATGGAACACTTACATATATGGGTATGTGAGTGCATGAGAGTTACTTGTTCTCCTGGAACTTACATTCTATCAGCGGGAGGCAGGGACAGTCAGCAAACATGAGCCCCCAGAAAGTGCCGAGTGCTGTGTGGAGGCCACGGCAGGAAGGGGGCTGGGGGCGCAGTGGAGGCTGCGATTGTCAATGGAGCAGTCAGGCCTCCGGGAGAAGGGCACTTGGATCACAGACTTAAAGGAGGAGAGGAAGCGAGCCAACGGAAGGGGAAGGACATTATAGAAAGAGAGTTCTAGAAGCAGCCAGGAGGCTGGCACAGAGCAAGTCAAGGCCAGAGAGAGACCAGGGCTGCATCCTATGGGCCTGGAGGGCACTGTGCTCTGTGAAACCATGGAGGATTTTTGCGCTGAGAGGTGAAGTGATCTGATGTGATCTGATTATAGTAGCAGTGATTTAAAAAAAAAAAAAAATTTTTTTTTAAAGCTGGTACTTAAATATATACCTCCAGTCAGCAAACTACACTCCAGGGATGTCCTCTTCCCTTGCCTGTCCTCAGCTGCACTGCTGTGACCCTTTCCCTCCCCACTGAGGTCCCCCAATGGGGTCCCATCGGTGTCTCCACCTGCCCAACTCACCTTGCTGGCTCTCGAGGCCTTGTAGACACAGTTCTTATTGAGGCAGCTCAGGATGCCGTCAATGGCTTTGTTCGCCTGCTTCAGGAACTGGGGATTTGGCTGCAGGTGGTCTTTGATGAAGCGGTCCAGCTCATTGGCAGGGATCTGAGACAGATCTGAGACCCCCCCTGGCATAGAGGGGGTGATGCTGGCCACCACTAAGGGGTCAGGAGCCAGGCGTGGGGGCTGCCTGCTCCCTGACCTTGGGCACACAGCACTGAGACTGCTGCTGTCCCTGGGGGTCTTCGGAACAGAGTCTCCCAGGACACGGTGGTTCGAAACCAAGCTCCCAGCATGTAGAAGGCCCTGGAAGTCATTGAAGAAGCTGTGTTACCCATGCAGAGGTTTCTATGTCGCCTCCCTCACCAGCCCCCTCCCACCGTGTAGTCAGGGGGACTAAGACTTAGGGAGGGGAAGTGAGACGTAGCCCACATGGCGCCTTTGTGCAGATGAGGAAAAGGTGCCCTTACAAAGGGAATAAATTATCAAAAGGTCCCACCCGGGGGGTGGGCACAGCTTGGTAAGCAGACAATAACCACATGAAGACGCAGGCTCGGCTTGGCCATCAGATCCTTTCACACGCCCGCAGTCCCCACCCACCCCAGTGAACGCCAGACGCTCAGGAAGCCCTGCGCACAGAAATTAGGTAAAACACCCAAGGATCCTGGGAGCCCCTCACTCACTGGCAGCTCCCAGGGCTGCACAGCATCCCTCGCCGCCTGAAGAAAGCACGGCTCGTCATAGCTGGACTCTGCCTCCTGGGCCAGCAGATCCCAGCGCCAGGCGGCCCCGTTCCCCACATCCCACGTGGGGTCAGCAGGGTCCAGGATCACGGGCCTGCAAATCCAGAAGGACAAGAAAGTTCTGGTTAGCGAGACGGTCAAGATCAGGGGCTCTGGAGTCAAGCTGGCCTGGTTCCATTGCCAACTCTGCTCCTTTCCAGCTGTGTGACCTGAGGCAGGTGACTTACTTCTCTGAGCCTCAGTTTCCTCATTTCTAAAATGGGGTAACAACAACGCCTGATCTGGTGGGCTGTGGTGGAGAGTAAATGGGAGTAAAGGTCGTTAGAATCACGAGGTTCCAGGATCTGCTCCCGGTATCCCTGAGTTACACCCTATGACTCAGCAATTTCATTCTCGGATATAAGTCCAACACACAGGCATAGGCACTGAAACACAGGCTAGTTAGCACAGCCCCCTCTGTAATAACCCCTGAGTGCGAACGACCCAAATGTGCATCGCGAGTAGAATGGATACAAATTTACACACTGGATACTATTCGGCAATCGAAGAGAAGGATCCATAACTGCAGGTAACTATACAACTATACGGATGAATCTCGAAGACTTCCCGATGAAGAGGAGGAGGAGGACACAAAAGTACATGCTGTATGATTCTGTCGAAATAAGATTTAAAAACAGAACTGTAACGAGAACAGGCAGAATGGGGCTACCTTGGCACACGGGAAGCTCCTGGGGTGCTGGAATATTCTATCTTGATCTGGTGGCGGTTTCGCAGGTATGTTCACGTCATAGAGAGTCACCAAAATGTGCATTTGGGGTGGGTATGTTATATGTCACTAAAACGTTCATGCACAGAACATGTGGAGCTTGTAAACGCCCGCAAGTGATTCTGATTTGCATCTGGGGCTGAATCCACTGAATTAGGACATGCGTGTGTAGCCTTGGGCTTTGGCCTTCAGTAGAAACGACCTGTTTTATATTGCTAATCATCTCCCCAGGGCCAGGCACAGGAGAGCGGGCAGTGGGGTACTAGGAGGTACCTGGGTCTCTCAAGCTGGCGCCGCAAGAACGTCCCAACTGTGGGGTCCTCGAATCTGTAGTTGATGGTCCAGAAAACACACAGGTGCTGGTACTGTTGGATCAGGCCCAGGACGGTCCGGAGGCCTTGGGCCAGGATGAAGGCATCCTTCCCACAGCCCTGCTCCCAGGCGAAGATGGTCAGCAGCTCCAAAGCATAGGCTGGGGGCATCTTCTTCTTCGACTCCTGTGGGCACACCTGTCAGAGGACAGGGCAGAGGGGCTTAGAGGGTGAAGGCGGTGGGAGGGCTCGTTTTCCGCAGAACTTTGCTGGATCTCTCAGCCTCTGGGGTGGGGACCCAGCAGGCTGAGCCTGGGATGAGATGACGTGGTCCAAGCCTGTTCCAGGAGCAACCTGGTGTTTCTCATCTGTCCTCACTGCTGGGGATTCAGCAATGTGGTCGACTCAGATTCTGGTGGGGGATGGAGAGGTACGAGATCCAAGTGCGCAGGAGGCAGGGACAGGCAGAGAGTCCAGCACGAGGTCTGAGACAGTCACCTATGCCCCCGAGTGAAAGCGTGGCAGCACTTGCCCAGGGTCGCACGGCGAGCCGGTGGCCGAGCAAGACTCGGCACTGAGGACTTTCTCATGCCGGACCTGCTGTAGGCTGAGTGGTCCAACAGAAGGTCCAAGCCACGCGCCTTAAGATTTTGGGTAGTCTGTTCCCATTTCTCCAGTCCCAGGCTGGGCCCCCTGCCCCAATGCACGTCTATCAACAAGCATGGACAGTGCCGGGGGCCCTTCCTGAGGCTGGGTGGGAGGCGTACAAACTCGACATTACCTCATACTCCACATAAAATATTCCACCTAGTTTCAAAGGCCTAAATATGAAGAAGAAGATCTCCTAAAACCTTTTGGAATAAGACAGAAGAATACTTTTGGAAAGTCAGTATAGGCAAAGCCTTCTAAAACACAAAGACACACAAAGCAAAAATCACATAAGAAAAAGATGAACGCATCTGATTACATTAAAATTCAAACATTTTCTGTGACAAGTGACTTATAAGCAAAGGTAAAAGCCTAAGCCCAGATTGGGAGACTAGCTTTGTCTTACACGAACTAAATAAAAACCAGCACCCAGAATACATCAAGAGCTCCAACAAACCAGAAAAAGGCAGCTGACCCGGTAGAAAATTATGGACAAATTATACGGATAGGAGATTCCCAGAAAGAGAAACATGGATGGCTGATAAGCACAAGAAAACATTCTCACGATCTCAGAGGCACAGATTCCAACGGTCACGTGCCTGGAGCCAGGACCCTCACCTGGCGGTACCAGTGCTTCACCAGCAGGATCAGGTTCTTCAGCTTGGGTGGGCGAGTGTTCACGAAGTTTCTCCGCAGCTCTGTGAAGCAGGCCGCGTGCTCGCCCCCCTGACAGCCGCTGTCCAGGAGGGTCGAGTAGGCCTGGCACTTGGCTTCGACGTTGGACCTGAGCTGCCCTGTGAAGGTGAAGGCCTGTGAGTCAAAGAGGATGCTGAGGACACAGGATGGGAGGTTGGGGCACTGGGAGAGAGCGAGGAGAATTGGGGGTGGGGGGGATACCCCAGTGTGGGTGTTGGAGGATGAGGAAGAGAGCCTGGAGCTTTGCAGGAGGCAGGGAGGAAAGCTCCAGACCAGAAGCGAGGGGCCCTTCTTTGCAAATGGCCAGGCTGCCCCAGGGGCCAGGCCCAAAGAAGTGTAGCGTCATTCCCAGAAGGCTACACGGGAGCGATGCTTCCAGCTGAGTCAGGAGTCCCAATAATCTGGCTATTCTTTCTCCCTGGGGCTCCCTCAGGCCATACTAAAATACCACTGGACACACCTTTCATTAATCGGTGCCCTGCGGAGAGGAAACAATGCCAGAGAAATACAAGGCAAGAAGTTCTGATTCCTTAGCAGTGATCACTAATATTTTTTGAGCGCTTCCTACACACCAGGCCCTGTGCTGAAAGCTTAAACGAGGCCGGTCATTGTATCCCCACCAAAACCCTCCCATGCTTCACCTTGCTTTATAGCTGTGGAAACCTGCCCAAGGTTATACAGCTGGAGACAGGATTGGGACGCAGAGCCAGCTGGCTTCATGGCATGTGCCCGCTTCCCACAGGCCTTGCTTGGGAAAAGTCAACAGTCTCCATAGTCTCCTAAGTTCCTGACGTCACTTATTTGCTGTGTGACTTTGGGCAAGTTACTATACGTCTCTGTGCCTGTGTCCCTATTGGTAAAACGGAAGATAAGACTGTACAGACCTCGTAGGTTTGTTTTGAGGAGTTCATGAGCTAAAACACAGAAAGTGCTTGGTGCAGTTAAGCATTTAATGAGGAGTAGCTGTCATGATTAAGATACCTCTCCCCAGAGGGTAAGTATACAGGCATGGGAGAGTGTGGCTGTCTGCCAGGGCAGCATTATCCTGGATAAGCTCCCAGAGCATCATGGTAAATAATAATAACAACAATACTAATAGAAAAATAATGATAAGGATAAAAGATTTAAAAATAGTAAGCACTCATAGAGCCCTATCATGTGCCAGGTGCGAAGTTCAGCATACAGTCCTTCCAACAACTCTAGGACAGCTCACTATTGTCCTATTATTATTATCCGCATCTGACAGATGCAGACACACAGTCAAATTATTATATTAAATCAGGCATGAGTATATTGCAAAGGAGAACGCAAAAATCACGTTAATGCCTTCAAGATAAAAAGATCTTGCAGAATACTGGCCTTGTCCCCAGACCCTGGCTGCTGGGCACATGTCCCTTTGCCTTCTACCCTGGGGAATTTATGGAAGGACTGAGCAGTTACTTGAGTGGGGGGGCCAAGCACCTTGACGCCAGGACCACAGATCCAGGAAGAACTGGGCCTTCTTGGCCTTTGTCTAATCCAAACCCAATATGTTTAGTCAAGAAATTGAAGCTCAGAGAGGGTGACCCAGGTCCCACAGCTAGTTGGTGGCAGGACTTCAGCTGGAAGCCCCGTCTTACTCCTAATGACCTGCCTCCCACCCTGGAAGGGCCAGGCAGCCCTCACCCAGAGCGTCGAAGGCGGGCACCAAGCTAACATCCATCCAGTTTTCAGGGTCTGTAGATGCCAGTCGGAACCGGAGGACCCCGGGCGTGTCCTGCTTAGGAAACTCGAGGCTCAGCCCGGGGACTGGGTTCTGCCACCAGGACTTCAGCAGTGCCTGCATGTCCTTGATGATCTCTGTACGGCGAGGCCTCTGGTCCTCATAGCTCTTGAAGCAGTCGAGGAAGATGACAAGTTCACCGTCACAGCCCCCTCGCAGAGCTGTGCCCCGGCCAGAGGAGCCTCCCTAGGAAGAAAACAAAATAACTCAGAATCCTGCATTCTCCAGATGTGGTACCCACTCCGGCTGGCGGGCGATTTGAGTGAGGCAAGTGGGCAGGGTGGAGACTGTGGCCACACGCAGGAATGTGGGCCCAAGGCAGCCAGGTCTGAGTTTTCAAGAAAAGCCAGTATAGACCAAGATTATCTCTCTAGGGACATCCCTCTCACCCAACTGGGATCGCTACCTATCCCAGTGGTGAGCCACCAGTCCCTCACAGGGAGGGCTGCCGGCGTCAGGCGAGCGGGGCAGAGCCCAGAGGAATATGACAGACTAAGCATTTCTTAGATGTTTTGTACATGATCACCTCATTTAACCTTCCAAACAAGCCCGGGAGGGAGGTGCTATGATTGCTCTCACTTTACAAATGAGGAAACGAAACTGTGTCACCTGAGCCAGAAGAGGCAGCACTTTGATTTGAACTCGGGCAGTCAAGGTCCAAACCCACATTTTTTTTTTCTTTCATAAATTAATTCACTTAAAAACAATTTGTATCATGAAAGGTTTCCAAACCTCCACAGAAGAAGAGAGGATTTTAAAGAAGTCTTTTGCCCCATTTGCCCCGTTTGTGCCACCCCCTTTTTTTCCTCTTTATGTGATTTTGAAAGAAATTCCAGCCAACGTGTCATTTCACCCATACAGTTTCACGGGCATCTCTAAAATGACGATTCCCCGTGGTGAGCGACTGTGCCCCCCAGGGGACACTTGGCAACGTCTGGAGACATTTTCGGTGATCCCAAAGGAGGGCTGGGGAGCCCCTTCATGTCGGCCCTGGGAGGCCCCTCTTTGACCCCTTCTTCTCTTTCTGCTTCATCTTGTGCATCTCACCCCAGCTGTGGGATCGGCCATGCCTCAGACTGGAAATGAAGCCCATAGCTGTCACCACTGCCCCCTCAGATCCTCCAGTGATTGGAAAGCCAAAAGCGAAACGTGACCACGAGAGCCATTCCAGGTTTTCCACGAAGCCAAGGATGCCAGAGATTTAGAGATCTGTCCACTCTGGTCCTGCAGAAATCCTCCTGTCCATCCCAAAGGCAGAAATCTGCCCCCCAACGTGTCCTAGGCCTCAAATCTCTCCTCCTTTCTCACCTTCCAGGCTAAGAGTCAGCCCCAGGAAACTGCTGGCTTGATCTCCTGAGTTTACCCTGAACATACAGGAGCTGACGCTTGTCTCCACCCCAAGTCTGTGGGCATCCTGAGGTCACCGTGGCAGCATGATGAAATGTGACCAGGCCAAAAAGTGGCCTGGGCAGTGGTTTAACCATGCCCAGTCTTTGTTTTCCCATCCATTAAACAGGGACAATAAATTCTACCTCGCTGAATATGAGACTAGAGTGAGGAAAGATTCATCTAATGAGATGATGTTCATTGTTATTTGGTAACGTCTCGATAAATTGGGCCCTTATGGCTATTATAGAAGGTTATTATTACTGCACCCTTCTGGGCAGGCATAGTGTGGGACTCATAGTCTGGTGAATGAGTGAGTGAGTGAGTGAGTGAATGAATGAATGAGAGATGACCATTAGCACAGATGCAAGAATGATCCTATCTGGCTTTGAATCCCGACCGGACGTCTTACAGGCGTAAACACGGTTACTTTGGCTTTCTGTGCCTCAGTTTCCCCATCTGTCGAGTAGGAGTTAACAGGAGAGCTGCTGGGAGCATAGTATATTTTCGGGGAGTGAGTGAGTGAATGAATGAATGAATGAATGAGAGATGACCGTTAGCACAGATGCAGGAATGATCCTATCTGGCTTTGAATCCCGACCGGACGTCTTACAGGCGTAAACACGGTTACTTTGGCTTTCTGTGCCTCAGTTTCCCCATCTGTCGAGTAGGAGTTAACAGGAGAGCTGCTGGGAGCATAGTATATTTTCGGGGCACTTTGCACCGCCCTGGGGCTTAGTAAGTGTTAAAGCAATGAATGAAAAGTCTGACAAAACGCGTCCCCGTCCCCCTTGGCCCGCCGTCATGAGGATGGCCGTGCGGCCGCCCCTCCCCCCGGAGCTCACCTTGGCGACTTTGAGCACCCGCCACCGCAGGGCGGCAGCGTCGGGGCGGCCCCTGCGCTCTCTCAGGGCAGCTCCCAGGTCGCCCAGGGCGCGCCGCGCGAGCCCCATGAACTCCACGGGCGGCTGCAGGCTGCTGGCCACCAGGGTGTCCAGTGAGTCTGCGGGGGTGCGGTACACATCCATGGCCCGGTGCGGGGGCGACAGGGCACAGGGGGTTCTTCGTGCGCGCGCCGCAGGCTCCCGTGCGCTCTGCTGCCTCGGAGTGTGCGCCCCAGGGTGTGCACGGTCCCCCCGCCCCTCCCAGGTGCCCGCAGCGCCGGGTCCTGGGTCCTGCAGTGGGGCGTGGGTCCTAGGACCCGGCCTACTCGGGGTCCCCACCTCTTCCAGTCATCTGGAGGGTTCCCCTCTTTCATGCTTTCGGTTTCGATTCTTTTCAGCGGCTCTGGGCCCTTTCTCCCACTTCCGGATCCCTTCCCGGTCGCGGCGCCCTCTCCTGGGCCTCCCCTCTCCCAGCTGCGGGTCTACCGCCCCCAGGGACCCCCCAGTCCGATGAGCTCACACGATCCAACAAAACGCTTTACCACGGCGAGTCCACAGACCTCTGCGCTGGCGCGGAGTAATGTAAGCAGAGCATTACTTAAGCGAAAGTAAGTAACAAAGACAGAATCGTCGTGCTGTATGTTCCGCTTTACATAGATCCTCGCACTTATTCCTCCCGACAACCACGATGAAGGAGCTGTTATCATCACAGCCACTCAACAGGCGAGGAAGTCACGGAACAGAGCATCTAGGCATTTGTCCAAGGACACGGTAGGTGGAAAGCTGCCAGGCCGGTTGCAACCCCAGAGCAAGCTCTCACCCCTACACTTTATTCTTAAGGGGAGCCAACTCTTCCTAAATAGTTGTGATGCAAATCCCCCTCCCCGCCCCCCCCCGGGGGGGGGCTTTTTAAAAGCCCCTTATGGAGAGGTAGAGAGGGTCCTCTGGTGGAGAGTGTAGAAAGGATTCAACACACTCGCCAAAGTTAGAGTCAACAGGAACGTTGATTAGAAAAAGGATAGTACTGCAGAGTGAGTGGTCTCCTCTCAGAGGCAGAAGGTGAGAGGGTCTAAGGAGCCGAGGATAGTGAGCAAGACGGCTAGAGACAGGGAAAGGCAGCGAGTCGGGGGCGGAGGTAATGAGGGGGCGGGGCGAGTGTTGGGGGAATTCAGTTTATGAATCATTCTTTAGTTCTCATTTCCTTTGATTAGGAAGGGGAAGAGTACGGAGCGGGAAAGGGTAAGACTATGTAGAGCAGAAGGCCGGCTGGCTGTTCCCAGCCTTTAATCTGTAGGTTCTCTGTGTTTTTAGCCCCTGGGAATGGACGGTTTTCTTTGTGCAGAGCAGCCCCTCAAAGACTGTTTTCCCGTTTCTCCTTCGCCCTGTGGGAAATGGGTTCTCAGCAATCCCAGCAGAAATCTGCCTCTTGTTCTGCAGGTGTCCTGCTGGCCTGGCTGCAGGGCTGATCAGTATATTGCAGTCTCTGAATGTAGCCTGATTTAACATTTTGACTCTCTTGCCTCCTCCCTACATGATGTTTAATCATCTAATGCAATTCCAATAAAAATTCCATTTTTTAAAACTTCGAACACATCATTCCAGAGTGTAAGAATTAAGGTGGTTTTGTTTGTTTGTTTGTTTAAAGAGGAGAAATGAGAAAGACAAATCAGTTTCAAATGACACCTCTCACACAATTCTCATATATTAAAATGTGCGAAAGCTGCAGAGTGGACACTCGAATCTTCACGGTATTTCAAATGACACCTCTCACACAATTCTCATATATTGAAATGTGCGAAAGCTATAAGAGTTAAAACTTTTGGGGACTGGCATGAAACTAGGCAGCCGGTCAGCTGCAGAGTGGACACTCGAATCTTCACGGTGTCCATTTCTGTCTTCGCAACCTGCCCTCTCTCTCTGCAGCTGCGTCCCTGTTGCTCGTCTACTCAGGTGGCCAGAATCTGTACACCTGAGCTCGGTCTGAGCACTGGCTCATGCCACTGTCCATCCCCTCCTTCCTCGCTCACTCAGAAACTCATTCGTCCTCTGCCCCATCGCTCAAGGATCCAGAATTCACTCTGCCTCTGAATAGATCTCAGGTAACACTCTTAACAAGAGCTTCTCGAAGGCTACCTTAACCGAAAGGAGCTAGATGGCAGCAGAGGGTAAATTTCAGAGGTCGGAGGGAGAGATGGTAGGCTGTCGGTGTGTAGGCACACAGTTTATATTTTGAGTAGCGAGTGCCACGTCACTGGTGGGTATTTTAGGATAGGAGGAAGACTATGTGGTAGGTTAGACATTGTGGATGGGATTTGAGCCAGGGGCCTTCAGCCACAAAGCCATGATTTGCAGGCTCGCTCATTAATTAGTCATCTTGCTGATTCACAGGCCACTTAGGAATCTAATTCCATTTGAGATGGTAGACCGAAGGCACACTCAGGGTTCTACCAAAACGACAGCAAAAAATATATTAAAAGTGTCATGCGGACATGGTTCCATAGTGTAGAGGTTAGCTTTATACGCAGAAGGTCCTGGGTTTATGCCCCAGTGGAGCCACGGTCCATGGTCTATGGCCATGCCACCCTGAACAAGCCAGATGTCTGATCTTGGAAGCTAAGCAGGGTCGGACCTGGTTAGTACTTGGATGGGAGACCACCTAGGAAGACCAGGTGCCATAGGCGTAAATAATTATAATAAATAATAATAAGTAATAAAAATAAAAGCATCATGCGGTTCGACAGGTTGGAAACTGAGAAAGAATACTATGAAAGGACCAGAAGGTTTGAAGAATTTCTAGAGAGTAGAAAGCAGAAGGGTCCAAACTGGATCAAGGTGGTGGACTGATCATATGCGCAAGTCTTTAACTCCCAACCTAGACCTCTAGAAATAACAGGAAAGAGATGAAAAATGTAATAATGCTGCTGGATCCCAAGTAGAGCTGCTTCGGTGAACCTGAGACCGTGGGACCCCTGAATGAGATACGGGATTGGATAGAGGAGGAAATGACAGCTCAGACACAGGAGCAAGTGGGTACCGACGCAGGGTGGTAAGGGCTCTGAGGAGCTCCAGGGAGGGGCCGTGGCCTCTCTCAGATGGAGGCAAAGGGTGTGCAGGGAGGGGTTTGTGTGAGGAGGAAGGGGAGGAGGGGTTATCTGGGAACGCTCACCCAGGGCTTCAGACAGAGGTGGCTGTACATTACAATCCACACCCGGGTTGAGCTGGGGGGACCTGAACGTGAAGTTGAGTACACTGGAGTTCCCCTATAAATCCTAGCCTTGCAATCTCATATTACATACGTTCTGCCTTTAAAAGCCTTTCAGCTGAGTCCTAATCACCTCTGTGAACTCTCCACCCCTCACGTCTGAACTCCACCCCTCACCTCTGAACTCCACCCCTCACCTCTGAACTCCACCCCTCACCTCTCTGTTGACTAAACATTGGATCTTCTCAGTTTCATTTCCTCAACGGGAAGTTGCTCAGAAAGTGGACTTATCTCTGGTGACTCAGAAATTTATGCCTCCAGTGCTTCGATTCTGACGCGATAATTTTTTATCATCCCTTACACACTTGCTCCTCTGTTATCAAATCTCATGACTTTGTCCTTACACCAGCAACTACAAATACCAGCATCTCACATTTTTCTTTAACCTGGGCCCGCTGGCTTTGCATAAACGATGAGAGCTTAGCTCAGAGAAATACTTAAGAAAAAACATTTTTTTTGTAAGAAAAATTGCTTAATTGTTTCTTGTCATATAAGGAATAGAAGTTTATTATTTCTTGTGGTCACATAAGGAATACGAGTTTACTGCAAAAAAAATTAATAAAATCAGAAAAGCATAAAGATCACTCATAATGCTATAATCAGATATACTTACTGAAACATTTAGGTCTTCCAGGAACCAACGATTACAAAATGAAATTAAAGAAAACATACTAAGTATAATAACATAGAAACAAATATCTAGGAATAATATGATAAAAGACATGAAAGACCTATTCAGGAAAAAATTGTGAAACTTAGTTACAGAATCATTAAAAAAGACTTAAATTAATGGAGAGAAACTCCAAGTCCATGGATGGGAATGCTCAATATGATATAGATGTCATTCTTTCTAATTTATGTCATGTCAATCAAATGCCTCCCCATATTTTGGGTGAAACTCTACGAACTGAGTCTAAAATTAACATAGAAACAGGAAGGGACATGAAAAGCCATGGACTTTGATAAAAAGAGGACAGAGTTTTCTACAAGATACTAAGAATTATTTTAAGGTTAGAGTAATTAAAACAAGGTAGTATTAAGAATACAAAAATAGACCAATGAAACAGAACAGGGCCCAGAAACAGACTCATACACGTATGAGCTCTGGGTAGATGTCAGAGGTGGCCTCGCAGAGCAGTATGGAAATTATGATTCCTTCAACGAATGCTGTTTGGATAACCGGGCCTAAAAGAACTCGAACTGGACTCCTACCTCACACCATATAAAAAGAAATATCTTTGGCTGCCTGTGTTTTGGTGTCGTATCCATGGAATCATTGCCAAGTCCAATGTCATAAAGATTTCCCCCTATGTTTTCGTCTAGGAGTTTAACAGTTTCAGGTCTTATATTTAAGTCTTTAATCCATTGGGCGTTGGTTTGTGTGTGTGGTCCAAGTTCATTCTTTTCCATGTGACTATCCAATTTTCCCAACAACATTTGTTGAAGAGATATCCTTTCGCCATTGTGTATTCTTGGCAACCTTGCTGAAGATCATTTGACCATATGCAAAGCACAGGCAGCACAAGGGAAAACAGACAAGCGAAACGACGTCAATCTAAAAAGTTTCTGCACAGAAAACAAAACAATCAATAGAGTGAAAAGGCAACCTAGGGAAAGCGGGAAAATATTTGCAAACCGTAAATCTGATAATGGGTTAATTTCCAAAAATAATAAAGAGCTCCTATAACTCAAAAGCAAAACCAACCAAAAAAATAAAAATAGCTTATAATCCCGTTAAAAAATTGGCCAGGCACTCAAGTAGACATTTCCCCAAAGAAGACATACAAACGGCCAATAGGTAGATGAGAAGATGCTCAACATCACTAATTGTAGGGGAAATGCAGTCAAAACCAGGAGCTATCACCTCACACCTATTATATTTTTTACAAAAATATAAAAATAGCCAATGCGAAATGGTACAGCTGCTATGGAAAACAGTGTGGGAGTTCCTCAAAAAATTAAAATGAAACTCCCATATGATTTATGTGGCTTTTCGATTAAGCAACTAATTACCAATTCGATTAATCTACTGATGACCGCAACATTGTTTATAATCATGAACCTCTCAGAAGACAACACAAGTGGATTACCCCACGGTAAAATGCAATCCAACCATGACGTGGGATGCCAAAATTTTCCTCTCGGCATGGAGCGATATCTATGATAAATGCAGATAACAAAACTGGATAGGGAGTAGAACCCCATGTTCATAAAAATACACAGGGAGACAGGTAAAGTCAGAGAAAAGGATGGAGAGACAGGCCCCAAATTTTAATAGGTCGAAGAGAGGGACCGAGGGAGTGATCTTTACAAAAACAAACCAATAAAAATGATTTCTTTAGTTTGCAACTGTTAAAGAGAATAACCAAATATTGTCACAAAGGAAAAAATGTATACTCACAGGTCCCCAGAAACAGGAGGCACAGCCTGCACGCAGGGCCACATGGGGAAGCTCCGGGGTTGCTCGTGAGACAGAGGGAGCAAGGGGGGAAACGTGGGCAAGAACCCTCGTCACGGTTTCTGTGGGAGAGGCGGGGCAAGGCAGGGTAAGCAGACTTAGGATCAGCTAGTTTGCATAATTGCAGTGGGTGTTGGGGCTACCCTGAGTTGTCTGGGACCTGGCCCTAAGGTGACTAGGACAGGCTGATTGTGGCCCAGGGTACAAGCATCCTGTGAAAGCTGATAAAAGAACACCAAAGACTGTGTGACACCGTGAAAGTGTAAATCAGTATAGTCTATTTTCTAATCCAGTGATCCACTTTTTAGGGCAGCGCAGTCCAATAGAAATATAAGGCAAGCTACGGATGCGATTTTACATCTCTAGTAGCTACATTACAATGTAAAGAGAAACCGATGAATTCGTTTCGATTTCACTCAATATCTCGAAAGATGGTCGTTTCGGCGTACAATCATGCCATTGAAATATATTCAAACAGGCAATATAAAAATTATCAGTTGTCAAGAATGTGGTTTCCTTTTCTTTTTTGCACCGAGTCTGTGGAAGCCAGGATGTATTTCGCACTCACAGCGCATCTCACTTTGGACCAGCTACTCTTCGAGGGCTCAATAGCCACGTGTGACCTGTGACCACTGTGTTAGACGAGACGGTTCTACAAAATTTTCCCAGATAAATAGAGATGTGGACAAAAAAGGAACAAAACAATAATAAAACAAAAGATATTTATCTCAGGGTTACGTGTAATTGAAAACGGGCAGGACCCCAACCTATCCAATATTAAAATGCTCCCCACAAATGTCAGCTCCGTGAGGCACAGATTTTTGTCTGCTTTGTTCATTGTGTTCCCAGTGCCCAGAACAATGCTTGGCACACAGCAGGCGCTCAATAAATATTTCTAGTTGAATCTATGAACACGCATGCGCGTGCGCGCACACAAACACACACACACACGCACACACGCACACTACGCACACTTCTTGGCTATGTGCCTTGTAGTTAATAAACACCCAACAATCGGGATTGGCTATTATTTTTATTGCTAGTGATAATAAGTTGAACTAAAACCCTCCGGCCAGGGACACAGAAGAAAGTCCAGGCTGGGATTCCATCTTTTGTCTAAATCTCTCCCGCTGTCTCTCAGGGAATCCTGGAGAATAGGCAGGATCGGGCGGGCTTCGGGGAAGTGCTATCTATGAAAGGAGAGAAGGCACAGAATATGGGAAGGGCGGGGTCAGGAGACCTAGATTCTGGTCCTATGTCTGACCCACTCGCTGCTGCTTGGGGGCAGTCCTCTGCCCTCCCTAAATCAAGGGATGTCCCTGGAAACGAGGGGGCTGGCCCAGATGACTCTGGACCTCTGTCTCCTAAGATGCACTGGCCTTCAGAGGATGGCACACCACTGGTCCTCTTCCACGTGGGGTGTGTCGTAGGGCTGCAAGAGTAAAGCACATGACCGCGCTGGAGAGCTGGTCTCCCACTTTGGCACTGGGTCTCAGTGAGCATCTATGATGGATTCTGTGACATGCAACTTGGACCCTCCTCGAGGAAAGACAAGTGAGTCCCATGGCCGGGGAGGCTGTCGGCAGACCGGCTCTAGCAGTCGGCCCTTTGGGGTTGCTTCGGCTGCAGAGAGCCCCTTGCTTAAGGCCCTTCCCCGGCTTTCCACATTCGGTGACTGCTCTGTGTTGGGCACAAAGGCCTGAACACATGGGACTGCTGTAGGACAACTCTGAAGGCCACTAGTGCTCCAGGGCTCCCTGGGGGGATTTGGGGGGTGGTGGCTGGCACTGTCCCTGGGCTGCATCCCAGCTGGACTTCTCCCTGTCCCACAGGTGGCAGTGGGACACATCCCGCATGCTGCACTCCATTTCACAGTCTGCTTCCCAGGGAACCCAACTATGATATTATCAACCCCCGGCATGAGAAAGACCCCCTACCCTGGGAGCGGAAAGGTCCCAGTTCCAGAATGTCTGCCCCTACTTAGCTGTGTCACATGCTCACATCACTCCGCTGCTCTGAGTCTCTTGTTCGTCACATGATAAATGGGTGCGTGTGTGGGGAGGGGGGGAGTTGGGGGGGATGCAAGACGAGCTATTTACACAGTAGCATGAGCACTGGCAGCAGAGTCTACCAGGTCCGAATGCCAGCATGACCACTCCCTCACTGAAGGTCCTTGAGTAGGTGGCTTCACCTCTCTGAGCCTCCTTTTCTCCTCTGTAGGATGGGAGTAAGAAACCTATCTCATAGGGTGTCATGAGGATTTAATAAAATAATGCGTGTTGAAGGTCTTAGGGCCAAACCTGAGCCCAAAAGAAATATTCAGTAAGCAGTGGTCATTTTTGCTTATTATTATTCTTAGGGGAATGAGCCAACTGGAGCTGTTAAAAAAAAGTGACCTCCAGCCATGGCAGCACCAACTAATGAGTGAACTTTGGACAAGGAATGTAAAAATTCTAGGAACTCTCTGAATAGGGTCAGATATGGAGCATAGCCTGAAACTATATGAATATGAGTGACTTCTAGCAAGAGGCAATTTCTTTGGAAAGAATGGCCTTCAGCTGCATACCCCAAGCTGTGTGGAGGGGTGTGTGTGGCGGCGGGGAAGGATGACAGGGAGAAAGCAGAAGGACTCACCTCTATGTCCCAGTAGCCCACTGGAGAGCCATCCACATTCTTAAAGCACGGGTAACTCAGCCACACTTCAGCCTCTCGTGCCAGCCGCGGCCAACTCTGTGCGTGTCCACTGCCAAGATTTCCAGTGGGGTCGGCCGGGTCCAGAATCACAGGCCTGAAGAGCAACATTTAGAGAGGGACAGGTGAGGCGCTGGGCTGTGTCTGGGGAGTCTCGATGCTTCTGAAAGAGCTAAACACCAGCCTGGGGTAGTGTGGGACTCGGGGCAGGGAGTGTGGGACTGCTTCCTGGGCCGTGCCCTGCGTACCCTGCTCCATGGCGGGCAGTGAGCCCCAGGAGAAAGAGACTTGCACTTGGGCCTTACACATCTGAGTTTGAATCTCACCTCTGCCTTTGATTAGTGATGTGCCCTTGGGTAGGTCACTTGACCTCCCTAAGCCTCAGTTATCTCATCTGGGAAATGGGGAGAGTCGAATGCGCCTACCTCACAGGATGAGGCATGAGGATCGAGACGAGGCATGTGGAATGATTGGCATAGTTCTTGGGAAATCATGAGGGGTCAATACATGTCAGTTATAACGATAATTTTTACTATTATGTTAGAACGTGTTAGTCTTACAAAAAGCTTTTCATCTCTGGGAGTAACTATTATTATTGCCGTAGCTGTTGTTATTTTCATTCAAATTTCAGCGGTTTCATTCGGCTCCTTACCTCTCAGAACCTTACTCTATAAACTGGCTGACATGGTGCCTTTCCACAGGATTGAATGTTGTTTAAATCAGATAACAGTAGTAAAGGGCCTAGCACGAGGACTGGCGACAGAAGATGATCGATAGATGTGAAGCCCTCCCACTCCCTCGTTTCCAAGGCACCACAGCTGTTTCCAGGGGTCCATCTATGTGGGGTGCCAAGCCCCGTGGGGATAGAGTACCTGGGTTTCCTGAGCTGCTTCTGCAGGTATTCAGCAATAACGGGATTTTTGAAGTCATAATACTTTGTCCAATAGATGCAAAGCTTCTTGTAGTTCTGGACCAATTTCAAGACTGTCTGAAACCCCTGAGCTGTTCTGAAATACGTTTCCTTGTTTCCACGTTCCCAAGCGTAGACCGTCAGGAGCTCCAGGGCATACTGCGGTGGCAGGGGCTTCCCAAGCTTCTCCTTACACTGAGAAGAGAAAAAGCCACCAGAAAAACGGGTTTATCCAGCTGTGTGTAAAGCAATGTCCATGGGCAATGTCCAGCCTACTGCTTGTTTTTGTAAATAAAGTTTTCTTGGAGTGAAGTCATACCCGTTCATTTATGTATAGTCTATGGCTGCTTTCGTACTACAAAGACAGAGTTGAGTAGTTGAGACAGAGACCTTGTGACCCACAAAGACTAAAATTCTTACTACCTAGGCATTTATGGGAACCGTTCAGTGACCCCCGCTTAAAGGCTGGGGCTCTGGATTCTGACAGTTGTGGGTGTCAGTCCTGGGTCTAGTTTTTGTCTGGTTCTGGGCAGACGACACTTGGAACCTCCTTTTCTCATCTACCCGGTGATTGGTTATAACAGCACCTACCTTGTGGGGGATGGGATGAGAATTAAGTGGGAGAAAGTACTTGCAGTGTTCTTAAGTATGCCTTATGGAAGCCAACGAAATCCCCTCTGGAGGAAGATATGTAATCCAAAGCCTCAAATTATGTCACAGGTAATTTCAAGTACAATGACCAGCACATAAATAACCAAGCACACAAGGAAACGAGACACACCAAGAGTGATGACCAGCAGGGAAAAAACAAAAACAAAAACAAGAGAAAATAGTAATACATTCACAAAACTTTAAATATTGAAAGATCAGATACAGACTTTGAAATAACTGAGAATACTCTATTCAGATAAATAAAAGATGAGCATGGAATGGTAGGAATTTAGAAGCTGTAAAATATAACGTGGCAGATTTGAAAAGAACGAAGTAGAAATCCTAGAACAAAGACTACAATAATGATCATGGATAATTCGACCACATTAGATGTGGCGAAAGGGAAAATAGTGAATTGGAAGGTAGCTTAGACAAAACTATTTAGAATAAAGCATGGAGAGACAGAAAGATGGAAAACATAGAAGAGACTACGGAGAAGGTAGAGTGAGGTCTAACATACACTTAAGTGGAGTTGCAGGAGGCAAAGAGAGAAAGCGGTGGAGACAATATTTTAGGACCATGACCAAGAATTTCCAAAACGTATGACAGTTATCTAACGACAGATTGAGGAACCAAGGAACTCCAACGAAGGACCCGAGGAACTCCAAGAGGGACAAATGAAAAGGGATCATCATTAAGACACATTAGGTTGAAACTAAACAAAATCAAAGACAAAGAGAAAGAGATAAACGCAGCCAGAGGAATAAGAGAGGTTACGGACAAAGAAGCCACGGTGAGACAGACAACTGCCTTCTCAGGGGTGACACTGGAAAAGGAAATGAAATGTCTGAAACAACCACCAACCCAGCGAAAATCCCAGGCAACGATGACGGGAAAGTCAAAACATTTTCGGACAGACAGACACTGAGAGAGTTTACCACCTTTTGGTGGCAGAAGACTGTCCCCAAAGAAATCTTAACAGATGTACTTCAGGAAGAAGGAAATCGATCCCGCGTAGAAGGTTAGAGATATAGGAAAGAACTGATGGTGAAGAAAATGGTAAATATACTGGTGGATTAAAGGAACGTGGGCTCTGTGAAACAATACTAACGCCTGGGGGCACTTGAAAATATAGGGAGACTGGAAATACACAACAAAAGTCGCCTGTGAGTTGGAGGCAGTGCTTGATGGTGGTTAGTAGACTTGAAGTACCGTAAGGTTCCTGTACTATTTTAGAGGAGAATGGAGGAAGGAAGGAAGGAAGGAAGGAAGGAAGGAAGGAAGGAAGGAAGGAAGGAAGGA